ATATGCTTGTCCTTTTTTTCCTTGTGCTAGACATGCAGAAATGTCTGCTAGCAAATGTAGTGAATATGGATTTTTCTGCAGCCCACTTCAGTAGCCAAAGAGTTGGAAGACCTTAAGGAGGCTGTGATGAAAGCTGATGATGGTGGGAACGAGAAGGGAAAATTTGATCCTGAGAAGCACATTGATGCTTACCTGCCTGTCAGAGTTAACGAACAAAGAATGAGTAACCTCTTACAGTCAATCCTTGTTGGATTATTAGTGCTTGCTATACCGGTAATCAAAATGATACCAACCTCAGTTCTTTGGGGATATTTTGCCTACATGGCCATTGATAGTCTCCCAGGGAATCAGTTCTGGGAAAGGATATTGCTGCTCTTCATAACTTCTAGCCGACGACACAAGTGAGTTGTTCACCTTAGAAGTTGCAGAGAGATAATTTAGTTTATTATTACAGCTTGAAAGATGCATTTGATAGTTTTACATTATTCAGAATGAACACATCGACTTGCACGTCAAGAGACCTCTCCACTAGTTAAACTGATATGAAAATATTGGTACAAGTTCTATGACTATACTTGGAAAAGAAAATTGATTTAGATAGATACAACTTAAAATTTTGGTATTGTAGGATACTATGATTTTTTATGCAGTTTCGTGATGTTTTGCTAAGAACATAATTTATAGAAGACTGAAAGTTGAAGTATTTTTCTAATCTCTTCACTGTTGATCTATTGCCTTGTTATGCAGAGTCCTGGAAGGTGTACATGCTTCATTTGTGGAGTTAGTACCATACAAGTCAATTGCTGCATTTACGCTGTTCCAGTTTGTATATTTTCTGCTTTGCTACGGAGTAACATGGATACCAATAGCTGGAGTGATGTTCCCTCTACTATTCTTCCTTCTTGTCAGCATTAGGCAATACATCCTCCCCAAGCTGTTTGACCCTAATCATCTTCAAGAACTAGATGCCTCTGAGTATGAAGAAATTGCTGGTGCACCTAAAAGAAATCTAAGTCTATCACTTAAGGTACCATTTTTTTGTTTCTTTTTCTTTAATCTTTCTTGGAGTTTTATTATCTTAAATATGATTATTAAAATTTATTATTTTGTTTTTTTTTAATATTTCTTGGAATTTTGTTATCTAAAATATGATTATTGAGATTTATTAGTAATTTTTTACTACTAAATTAACATTAAAAAATAAATTGTTTTTTTAACGTTTATAATCTCTGACAAGAATATCCTGTAAAAACTTTTATGATACTTTGATTCTGAAGAGATGTAAATATTGAAAGGATTCACTTATTCATCACATGAACATGTTACTTTTAACATTACAAGACGTAGAGTCCTAATCTAACTAACCTTAGGTCTAGAATCCTAATGATATAAAAATAATGCTATGTTAGAGATACACAAATTAAAATACAATTTAAATATAAAACATATTTATCTCTTTATCTCTTTACCCCTTGCAAGCTGTGCATGGTAATACACAAAGATTGAACCTCAGGTGATTGGACCTTATAGGAGAAAGTTCTTTGGTAAAAATCTCAGTTAACTGATCTTAACTGGCAATATATCATGCGATTAATTGTTTTGTACTTTTTTCCGAATAAAATGAATATCCAGCTCAATATACTTAGAATGAGAAACTATAAGTTGCTTCTTGGAACATCAAACATTAAATTCGTACCAAGAGAAATATAGTATCTTAGAGCTGATCGTTAGATGTCAGAATATCCTGCTTAGTTTATATTCGAGTATCCTACTAAATATCTTTTTTTTTTAAATAAAAAAATAAGTTGTATATTAATAGATACCAACAAAAACAGAAGTACTATTCATGTACAAAAGATTTACAATATAATTAGTGACTTAACGACGTTCTTAAAATTTTCATTCCAAATAATGTCATGACCTAATAGGATAGACTCGAAAAAATTCAGTCATCCTACTAAATGCTTAGGGGATTTAAAGTAAAGTTAAAAGCCATAAGATAGAGTATCTCGTATGTAACGTGATATACGTTTGACAGCTTGAAAATGGTCCTCACGAGGTTCATGCATGTGCCGGCAAGCTTGCTGACAGCAAATAGAATCTCAGGATGAGTCAGAGTACGATATTACAATATTACAAAGGTTCCAACAATACTGCGATATGAAGTAACATCTGATTGCAAAAACTCGGCCTTTTACCAATTTGACCATGAGAGTGGACAGAAGTAGCTAATGGCTGACAGTCCTTCATACCATGTAGATGTAATAAGTCTATAACATACTTGCTTTGCTCAAGAAAATGTGCCTCCGTATTATATGAAACTGGAATACCCAAAAAATAGTGCAGTGTGCCCTAATCAGTTATTAAAAACCCACTTTTAAGTTGAAAAGAAGAGACTGAAATAAGTTACTTGAGAAGTTGTTAGTACAATATCATCAATACACAATAAGACTTCTAGCCATGTGATACCCATGCTTACAGATAAACAGACTTGTCTGCACGACTTGAGATGAAGTCTTGAGTAGAAAGAAAGGATGTAAAACATTGATTCCAAGCTCAAAGGGCTTGTTTAAGACCAGAACTAGCCTCCTTAGTTTACAGACATGTAAAGGATAGTCAGAGTTCTCAAATCTTTGAAACTGCTTCATATAAACTTCTTCTTTGAGAATACCATGGAGAAAAGCATTTTTCACATTAAGGATAGATTGGCCGGCAATGAGAAACGACAATCAACAAGATAATATAAATTGTAGAAGACTTGATAAGTGGACTATAAGTTTCATTAAAGTCGATGTCAAGTTGTTATTAGAAACCTTGAGCAACTAATCGAGCTTTACAACGTTCCAGAGAACCATCAGCTTTCTGTTTGACCTTATACATCTAACGACATCCAAAATAGTAGCACCAGGTGGATGAGGAAAAAGCTGCCGTGTATTAATACCAAGAAGAGCATCGAATTTGGTTTCCATAGCTTGTC